TTTATTTGTGTTATTCTTGTTTTTAACCATCTGACTGCAGACATGGGAAAAACTAGGTAACTGAACACTATCTAGCAGTTATAATACTTAAATCAGCATTTTTGAAATTTAGATTTTCAATGCAGGCATCTGTTAAGCTGAACTGATCAGAATCAGATAAGAGCAAAATGCAAACTACCAAATATAAACTAATATTTAAGTTTATATTTTAGTTTGTATTGCCTCTATTTTTCCTAATGTTGATAAGCAGGAATATTTGGTACTTCAAATTGTTCTCCATTAATTCTGCATCAGTATTGTTGAGAAGAGAAGAGACATCATGACTGATTGACCAAATTAGGTTTAAATGCATAAATGAAAAAGTTTGACATAACCCAGTTAATTAGTGATGCAATTAGCTTTATGACTTACAGCGAGACAGAGTGCTATAGGTGGTACAGAACTGTCTTTGCATAGCATCCAGACATCCAGCAAGCAGACGTTCCAGAAACACATATTTTCTTCTCCAAATGCCTTTGAGAAATTCTGCTATCTTAGATAAAAAAGAAGTAATCATTTTACATTCATATGTTTTTTTTTTTTTGGCAAGGTTGTCTGGGGTTTTTTAGAGGACCGAAATGCAGAGACGGAAGCTGAGGTGGTTTCTTACAGATTTATTTATCGAAATGGTGGCAATTGAAGCAAAAGTTCACAAACAAAATACAGAAAACCAAAAACCAGGAGACATCAGGGGAAGCCCACATGAGGAACTAAGAGACAACAAGGCAAACAGTAACTGAAGTGGAGGAGTATATATATATATATATATATATATATATATATATATATATATATATATATATATATATATATATATATATATATATATATATATATATATATATATATATATATATGTCACACAATAGACTGGGGTAACCAACTGATTGGGAGCAGGTGTGGACAGAAGGAACTAGAAGCTAGCTAGGGGAAAGGACACTAACATGAGGGGGCTACAGAGGGTAAACAATAAATACATAAGAACTCAAATACAACCAGGAAACAGATAGAATGACACAAAATGGAAATTAAACCAATAATCTAGAAAACACAGAAGAACTTGAATCAAAGTTTAACTAAAAACTTAAAAAGAAAACTTAAACAGAACCAAAAAAGTGCCGAATGATGACAGTTTTAGCATAGAAACTTATCCGTGATTGTATGTTAACTTTTAATTTTCCCAAACTCAATAATAACAGAGGGAACATTATGTGTGACTGTTTCTAAACTGCCAGTTCAGAGAAACTCTTAGTTAATGTTTGGTGAAACAGGGCATAAATCACTTGAGTAGGTTTGCAGTTTGTGCACCTAATGCCATGAAATCTGCGTAAAATGATCACATAGGCCCCATAAAACTATAGAATCCATGAAAATAATCCAGTCAGATTATCTTTCATAGCAGGGTTCTGTCTTTGATGTTAGCAGGTGGAGGATAAAGTGAAAAGTCCTCTTGTTAAAAAAAAATGTCTGCAGCATGGAACAGTAAAACCCATAATGAGCTACTTCTTCAGAGACTGCTAAGAAAATGTTTTGTGTTCTGGTTAATGTGGGTCTCACACTGGAACAACTATCTTAAATGTATTTTGTTTGTTAGACCAGAGACCAACACAAATGAATGATTTGCCATAACATTTGACTTTTATATTAATCAAAATCTCTATAAGTATTTTTACTTACCCCCCACATCTTTGCCAATGCTCCGTAGAACCATATTTTCCATATTACAGCTTTTGTCCATCAACTCTGGCCACCAGCAGTGTTTCACGGTGGGGATGGTTTGCTTTGGGTGATGGGCAGCTTTGCCGTTCTGTCAACAGATCCTCCTGGTTTAGCAGTGAATCATCGCAGCTCCTCAGAGTTACTATAGGCCTCATGTCTGTTTCTCTGGGCCTCAGACAGAGGAGCTGATTTACACAGTGATTTAAAAGTGTTCTCAATTTGCCAGTAAGATAAGACTTTATCAGGAAATAACTGATAAAATAGGTACGTTTACATAACACAGTTTTAAGATTTTTTTTATTCACAAGAAAATCAGTTTTCTCTCCACTTTACAAATTAACTAATTTGTTTATATATTTTATATACATCCCCGATCCTTATCATCATTGAAATTTGTAAAGTGAGATAAAAAAAAATGCCCCAAATACCCGTTTTCACATTTTATTTTAGCAAATGACAATGAGTCCAGCTTATATTATTATATTATATCTTTTATCCAGATGCACCACAGAGCGCCACAGGAAATCATTCCTGCCTGTGGTCATCAATCTCTACAACGCCTCCCTCAAGTGATTCAGACACCCCCCCTCTCTGTAATTGACATTTATTCATTCCTTGCACTGTTTTTGCACGTCACTATCACTTTATTTGGATTTATAGTTATACATATATATGTATATATATATATATTATATATATATATATAGCAAAAATCAACATGAATGTGACAACTTATTGAGATTGCTGGGAACAGTGAGGGTTATAAAGTCTATCTCCTCAATAATCACAAAGGAAAAATTTACCTGTAAGCAATATTTGGCTGATTACAAACTTCTTGTTAATTGAGAATCAGAATCAGACATACTTTATTATTTCCACTTTTGTTACACGCTCCAGATATACAAACATTTATATATATATATATATATATATATATATATATATATATATATATATATATATATATATATATATATATATATATATATATATATATATATATATATATATATATATATATATATATATATATATATATATATATATATATATATATATAAATGTTTGTATATCTGGAGCGTGTAACAAAAGTGGAAATAATAAAGTATGTCTGATTCTGATTCTCAATTAACAAGAAGTTTGTAATCAGCCAAATATTGCTTACAGGTAAATTTTTCCTTTGTGATTATTGAGGAGATAGACTTTATAACCCTCACTGTTCCCAGCAATCTCAATAAGTTGTCACATTCATGTTGATTTTTGCTAAGTTTCTGTCTTAGTCAGTTAAATAACATGCTGCTGTTATTTTTGCACATCTCTAGTGTTGTTTTTTTTTCACATATCAATTACTATTAAAATGTCCTCAGCTGTATATTATTTATTCTCCAGATGCATAGTTTTTATATTTTAATAAAACTGTACAGTGCAGTATTTTATTTGTTTATTTTCTTAAATCTGTCACTTATCCTGTTATTTATAGGCACCTTATTAAGGTCCACATTTGTGTGACCACTTTTTCTATAATCTTTTGCTGCTGCTATAACTCCACAGTTTCACCAGTGTGGGACAATTAATGGATTTTCTATTCTACTCTTTTCTAAATGAAGAGGTTTAAATGGCAGCTGTTAAATTTCTTTGTCACCTAAAGCAAAAAATGTTTTTGCTTGTTGAAAATGAAAGCAGCCTTATGCTGTATTTACTTAACAGACCAAGATTAGTAAATTCTACGATTCATTTAAGGTCAACAGAAGTTATCAAGAGGACAAAAAACCTTACCCATCACTTCGAACTGCTAATTAAGGATTAATCTGATCCCTCTGTCTCCCTGCTGTTGCTGATTATATCCTGTAAAAAAGCCTATTACTGTCGAAATTGTTTAGTTTAAAAATGTGCTTCAAAGCTAAATCAATGCTGTATTTTGACCTTGTTGAAACGGTTTGCTTAAGAGAAATACTGTTGATGGGGCTCAGTGTAAAACTTCTTAATGTTAGGTTTTGGTTAGATAGTAAAAGCAGAAGTTAACTATGTTAGAATAAATGTAGTTTAATCGGTCCTTAATGCTAAAACACATGGCTAGTTTCATAGAGACCAAGATTAGGAAGGATTGGTATCATTTGAAACAATTCCAGTCTAAAATAATATCGTAGTGCTTTACACATATGCACCTTTACACTGCCAAAATGATGCCGTTGGATGGATAGCTACCTTGAAAAGACTGTATTGTCAGATTGGAAATCCTTCTTGGAAAGTAGGCCTAATGCAAAAGTGTAAAAGGCAATTTTATTTCGCTACGCTGTCCTAACTTTTTTAATAACCAGAAATATAGATGTCTTTTTCTCTGCATGTTTTTCAGTCAAGAAGTTCATACATCCCTTTCTCATTTGCCTTGTAAATAATCTGCATTTCATGTGGCATGATTTGAAGATTAATAAAACACTGCTAATGTAAACCGCCATAATATTTTAAAACCAGACTAGTTTTAATACAGTAAAAGACTTCAGACCGACTCCTACTACCTGTTAGTTTCAGCTTCCGATAACAGATGATCTAGATTCTTACTGATGGCTAAAGAAAATTTTAGACATTGCTTTGGGAATGCATTTAGGTAATTAACACTTACGATAATCACATTGTTTGGAAGACTGGAAAATACTTTTGTGGCTGATCCAGTTTAGAAACATTTGTCCTCTCTGGATTGTTTGTGAGTTGTTAGAGGAGTGGGAAACAGACGTCTAGCGTGTATTTCCTGTAGACATGTGCTTTGATTGCAGCCCTTCCAAACACAATAGGAGAGGAGAAGGCGTCCTCTCAGCAGTGCCCCAACAGGAAGAAGCATATTCAACGGACAGGAGAAAATACATTCCAGTTAGACTTAACAAGCCATCTGAGGGAAAAGAGGGACACCAGAGAATTTTCTTTTTTCTTAAGAGCACCTTTTTTTTTTTTTTTTTTTATTACAAATCAAAAATAACATATTTACAAAATCTTTCATTTTGCTGTCAGGAGGAAATTAAATGACTTTTATCTTACACACACCCATACACACATACATGACTTTCAAAGCAGCTACCTTTTAATTGAGCTTTTTACCAACTTGAAACCATTTGTCAGCTGCCATCTGTTTGTCTGTCTGCAGGCAGCCAACCCCTGTACCCCCCCTTTCAGAAACACATACACACACACACACACACACACACACACACACACACACACACACACACACACACACACACACACACACACACACACACACACACACACACACAAATTTACAATTTACAACATCTTATCTAACTCCAACACCTTCCTTGCTGATTGGCACACCCTTCCTACATGCACACTCGGAGACGTGACACTGCCAGCCAGGGGTAAGATACCACCGGCTGGATCAGTCTTCAACTTCTGACCAATTACAACATGAACATCACAGATGAAAGCACAGCTTGTCCTGTTCACAAAGTCTACACAAGAGCCAAGATGATTTCATGAGCATCTAGCCCATGTTTATCCTCAAACAACAGAGTTTTATATGGTTTCCTTGTTCAGTTTCACTGGCCTGCCACTCAGAGAGTGGCTGGAGTTTCGGTGTGACCAGCACCCCCACACATCAACAACATTCAGACCTCTTCAGTCCACGCAGTCAGAGGCCGAGGGGGTGTGGGGCAGCCGGGCAAAGGTGACACCCTGAAACCGATAGCAGACGATGCTGCAAAGTTTTGTCTTTCAACCTGCCCTTTTTGCAGTGCACATCTCTTCAACCACTGTTGTCACACTTTTGTGGCCAGAGACTGAGCTTCTGTTTTCTGTGAGGAAAGAGAGCTGTTTGGGCTGGCATGCAGGAACTTCTTCAGGTTAAGGAGGCACAGGCACTGAGATCTGAAGCGCAGGTCAAAGAAGGCATAAAGGAAGGGATTGAGGCAGCTATTGACGTAGGCCAGGCAGGTAGCGTAGGGGTGAGCCAGCAGCAAAAAGCGCAGGAAGTCACAGGTGGCAGGGACCAGATCCACGTATGACAGGGCATCCGCTGTCTTCACAAGGTGGAAGGGCAGCCAGCACACAGCAAACACTACCACCAAGGTGGTGATGATCTTTAGCAGCCTCTTTTTACGCTGATCCTCTTTACGCAGGGTGTTGAAGTGGCGGGTGACAGTACAGCCGATGAAGCAGTAGCACACCATCATCGCCAGGAACGGAAGGAGAAAGCCGAGAGCTGAGGAGGAGATGCTGAGACCGGCGATCCACAGGTTCTCTTCCTCCTTATTGGTCAGAACCAGGCTGAAGTCCATGGCACAAGATGTGCGGTTGGTTTGCTGATCATACCTTGTAGTGCGAAAGAGAAGAGTTGGGGCGGCCAGCAGAAATGACAGGACCCAGATGGCTGCAAGCGACGCTCGGATGTGACCTCGGGTACGCAGCTGGGAGCTGGACAAGGAGTGGACGATGGCCAGATACCGGTCAAAGCTCATGCACGTGAGGCAGAAGACGCTGGCATACATGTTGAGAAGCACCACGTAGCTGCTGATCTTACACAGGGCTACTCCGAAGGGCCAGTGGTAGCCCATGGCTGTATAAACAGCCCATAAAGGCAGAGTGACCACGAAGGTAAGATCAGCCAAAGCAAGGTTGCCGATGTAGACGTCAGCAGCTCGACGCTTTCCTTGAGCCCTCCACACGGTGAAGATGACAATTCCATTTCCTGAGAGGCCCAGGATGAAGATGAGCATGTAGAGCACTGGGATGACAGAGTATGACGGCTCCCACTCTGAATAGTCACACATAGTGGAGTTCTCTGCCTCCTCATAGTCGTAGTAGTCATAAGGAGCTGTGGTCAAATCCATTTTTTTTTCTTTCACTTAATGTGAGAAAAAAAAGAGAAATAATTGTCTAAGGCAGATAAATCCACTGAAGCTGAGACACTGAAGTCTGTTGCTGTGTGTGAAATCTGCATGCCCTTATATACAAACCCCCATCCTGCTCGCTCCCTCCCATGACCACAACTCCTCCCACTAATCTTCCCTGCTCTGCACTGCATACCCCTATGCCCTCATGTCACCAGTTATTCAATTGAGAACTTAGCATTAAAAACTTTCTAACTAGACACTTTAAAGCTACCTTTTTACTGTACATGTGAAAACATTCTTTTCACATATACTTGCACAGTAATTTAAAGAGTCAAATAAAAGTTTCAATATCAGAAATGTTTGGTTTCATCTTGAGACATATTTCTGTCATTTCCTTGGTTGAACAAGGGCTCATCGGACATGTCTGGACAGCAGGCTGATAGCAGTAGCTTAGGCTGGTTTCACGATGAAGATACATTTAAATATCAATAGGGCGGTATTTTGTTACTGGAGCACCCTCATTTAACAGAAGAAAAGGGAATCTATTGACATTTCTTTGCCTGTCCTGTTTCCCCTGTACATGTTTCGACACGCTTAAGCACAGAAATGGGAAGAAAATGTGACTTCAGTGGATTTCATATGTAATGGATTGCTTTCCAGATGTAAAACAAGTATTAATTGCTATCTATAAAACTGAATAGAGACAGAAATGTTGTTTAATTAATTCATTAATTTAACTTCATTCATTATCTTAAATTGATAAGAATTTAGTTTAGTAAAAATGATTTAATTGAATTCAGTAAAAGAAGAATTTTCATAGAAATAAAAGTGTATCTAATCTAATTTTAGAATGGAAACCCCCTTTATTTTCCCACAGTGGAAAGTTCAGGTGAATTTCAGAAAATAGAAAAATACAGATACACACAAAATAAGAATAATAAACTTTACTAGCAAGAAACAGAATTGAAATATCTAACAAGTATTGATCACAATCCATAAATATCCTAAAATGTTTCTCTTGACTTGGTTGAGTTACAATCCTTGAAGGTGATTCATTTTAGTAATTGTTTTGTTTTTAGATCTAAAAGAGCATCTAGATGGATCCAAATAGACATTACCCCTTAATTTCTGAATCATCAAGAACGCTTAGGATTTATTTTATCCTATGGAGGACCAATCCTGCCATGATTAAAAATACATACAGAAAAAAATAAAGGACTTAATAATATAAACTTGCTTCAAAAAGTAGCTAATAATATTGTGTGCCATTAAATGTGACAAAATGATATGAATTAGACATTTCTTCAACAATTGATTAATAATTCATCTAGAAATATATATTTTAACTTCTACTTTTTTACTTTTCTTTCTTTAATGCTGACTTATTAGGCCACTTTTTAAGCCACTTAACCCAATGAAAAAAGACAAAATAAAAAAATGACAAAGTAGAAATAGATGAAGTGGAAATAGACAAAGTGGAAATAGACAAAGTAGAAATAGATGAAGTGGAAATAGACAAAGTGGAAATAGACAAAGTAGAAATAGATGAAGTGGAAATAGACAAAGTGGAAATAGACAAAGTAGAAATAGATGAAGTGGAAATAGACGAAGTGGAAAAAAGGGGCAGGCGAAAATTCTTTGGGTAAAACAACTGGCACAGGGAAATATTAGAGGCTGAACTAAATCATTGTTTCAGAAATAAAAAATGTTGAAATGAAATAATATGAAATATTTATGGTGCAGTAAAAACATGCTTTAAAAATATCATGGTGTAAATTAGTATGAAAAAAAAAGCATCTTTTAAAAATGTTGGTGTGAATAGATAGGAAACTAAAAAGAGTTACGGTGGAAATCTGGAACAAAAAAACCTACTTGCAGTAAACATGAAATAAAGACTTTAAGAAAAATCTATAACAAAAATAAGTGGGTTAAAAATAAGTCAGCGTAAAAGCAAGAAGAAAAGTAAAAATAAAAGTGGAATTTAAAAGTAATGTTATATTATTAAGTCCTTCATTTATGTATCTTTAAATATCTCAGGATTGGTCCTCCATATAGCCAAGCTACAAACACAATTTAATTGAGAAAATAATTCCAACATAAAAAAGCTGATTTGCATAAATTCCAGAAGTAAATAACATAATATTTCTATGTGTGGGTTTTATAAGATTTCAGGAATCAGCTGAAAGAAAGGCTGTTCTTGCAGTCCAGGTATGGGAGTATTTGCAGCTTGCTTTTGACACATTCTTGTGTCTTGTTCAATATCCATCCATCCATTATCTGACACGCTTGTCCAGAGTGGGGTCGCGACGGGTGCTGGTGCCTATCTCCAGCTGTCAACGGGCAAGAGGCAGGGTACACCCTGGACCCAGTCCATTGCAGGGCAACACAGAGACAAACAACCATTCACACATACACTCACACTTAAGTCATGTTTTTGGACTGTGGGAGGAAGCCGGAGTACCCGGAGAGAACTCATACATGCTCAGAGAGAACATGCAAACTCCATGCAGAAAGACCCCGGGCCAGGAATCGAACCCAGAACCTTCTTGCTGCATGGCAGCAGTGCTACTCACTGCTACCCACTGAGCAGCCCTTGTCCAATATCTATTTAGTACTTTTTCTGAAATGTTGAGTTCTGCAATTGACTTCTTGTTGTGACATGTTCTGGCCAGAAAAGAAAAACAACAAAACTTCTTATTATGTGACCACAACTAAACTTGAATAATGTATACAGGCCTTTCTTTGGTGATCACGCAACATGTTGTATAAATTCTGTTACCAGCTCTAGTATGTTCTTTATTTAACATTAAAAAAAGGTTTTCTAAGTTATGTAACCGAAAAATATGGTTTTAAAGCTGAATAATGTTGTTATTCAAGATCTTCTGTCATTCAGTTAATGAGGGATGATCGCATTAACTGAATGACAGGTATTGTTTGCTGCTGGTTCATTATTACAAAATTTCACTAAGATACATTGAAGATTTTGGTTGTAATGGAACAAAATTTAAGAGGGATATATATTTTTTTTAAAGTATAGCATGTTAAAGCCAAACCTTTTTTATAGTTTTTTCCTCTAAATCAACTTAAAAAAAATTTTCTGCAATCCTCTTTCTGACATTTCTTACATCTAAGGTTGACTCAAAACCCTTCTGCCCACACAGGTAAATATATATATATATATATATATATATATATATATATATATATATATATATATATATATATATATATATATATATATATATATATATATATATATATGGACTGCACTTTGGGGGGCCTGCAGGCTAGTGCAGAACAGAAAATGTATGCTCTACAGTCCTTGTGCACAAGTCGAAGTGGAAACCATAAACTGAACTTTACCGCTCAGCCAGGGAGGGTGCCACTGTGTTTGTGTTTTGCTGTAAACATTTGGCCACAACAATGAGCTCCAGCCTGTCTGTTAAGTTGCTTCACGCCACTTTGTGAAGACAGAAGAAATAGGCTCTGCATTAAAGCCTGTTGCTTGTGTCTTTTTAACATCTTAATATGAGTTCAAATCAATGGTTATTTTTAGTGGAATCATATATGTCTTAGTGAAATAGCTTATAAACGCTGCAGCTGAATCGAAAACACAACAAGTGTTTCTGCAAAGAAGCTCATACATGGCTGTGTGTAGCCTTTCCCAGTACTAAAAAAAGTGTCATATACTAAAAATAAGGTGCACTAACGAAGCATCAGAGGTGCAAGTACCAAAAAAAGCTGTTGTTCTGTTCTTGCAGTCCAGGTCTGGGAGTATTTGCAGCTTGCTTTTGACACATTCTTGTGTCCTGTCCAATATCTATTTAGTAATTTTTCTGAAATGTAATTAATCTAATGAAAAAATGTACGGTATTTGGGCTTCCCTTGAATTCTGTAATTGACTTCTTGTTAGGTGTGACATGTCCTGGCCAGAAAAATAAAACAACAAAACTGCTTATTATGTGACCACAGCTAAACTTGAATAATGTATACAGGCCTTTCTATGTTGATCACGCAACATGTTGTATGAGTTCTGTTACCAGCTCTAGTATGTTCTTTATTTATTTAACCGAATAAATATGGAATAAAAGCTGAATAATGTTGTTATTCAAGATCTTCTGTGTTTCAGTTAATGAGGGATGACCTCATTAACAAGACTTTTATTACCTCTAATAATAGATCACATCTGCTTTGTCCACTCCACTGCTACAGGACAGGGCTAATAGCAATATTTAACCCAGGGAATATGACAGAGAATTAGTGAAGGGAGTTAAAGATTAGGGAAAGGGTAAGTAGGCCCTTCAAACTCAAAAACGTTTAGCTCAACAAAGATAAGTGGTTAAAATACCAGTTGAAATATGAAGATAACTGGTTAGCAGTTACGATAAAAGTTTTAAAGAGTTTTGTAGTTCCAGTAAACCTTTTTTTTTTCTTTTATTATTGAGAAGTTTGTAAATAGTTTTTGAAACCACGTCTATAAAGAAATAATAATGCACTGTTCATGATGTACTTTTTTTTTTTTTTTTGCTTTATCTTATATCCTATATGAAAGTAATTCCTTTAAAGAAAGTTTGAATATAAATTCAGCTATGGTAGGAATAACTTTGGGCTTAACTATACATCAACATAATCCTGTTTTAAAAACATTTTATTATTTGATGATTTAACCTTATGTATATCATAATTTATAACCTTCAAAGACATATTTTATACTTGATAAAAAACTTTCTCATTAGAGTAAAAATGGGTTTCAAAGACCTTGAAAGACAATTTCTCCAATTTTAAGTCCATTCTGTGATGTTCAAGAATAAAATGTGGGATGTTTTTTTTTGGTATTTGCATGCATTGAATTCACAAAATAGTACAATACTTTGTGATTTTTCTAAATGTAGAAAAACAAAGTATTTTTTTCTCTTATCAGTAGCCTCTTAGCATTACTTCTGGTCCAGGTGGGTCATCTCAGTCTTCAGCGTGCCACATCTCTCAGCAGAACAGCAGCCGTGGCGCCAGGGCATCGACCTTTAGACAAAACTACTGTATCACTCAACAATCTTCCTTCAAACTCCCTCCCCCCTACCATCTTTCTCCTTTTGCC